TAACAAATATAGTCATGTCGCATGTTGCTAGAAAGTGTACCTACGTTGAACTTTAAAAAAAATTTTATAATTTAAGGCAAAACCTAAAAGTAGGTTTTGTCTAATTATAACAAAATGAAAATGAGGTTCATTTCTAATTTAACTGTTTCAGTAATGCTACCATAAAAGAATTATTATCATCAAACTGCACTTATTGAGAAACCTTGCTCAGCGTGCGCAATAGAAATGTAATTTTTACAAATATAGAGATGATTTTTTAGTATTTTCATTTCGTACTTCACACACTAACATTCTTAGTCTTAACATACTTCATGTTTTTAAAAAGATTAGTCTCATTTTTAGAGGGCCCTACCAAAGTTTTGACAAGTAAAAGAGAGATATGTTTCTGAAAATTGTATGAATCAATGCGGCTAGTTATTTTAAATAATGTTAATACTTTAAATTTTTGGGTACATCTAAAAACTACTTCCAAAAGGTTTACATCTAAAAAATAGTCCTAAAAGTAGTCCTATCAGTTTGACAACCATCAACTTTAATTTAGGCATAATACCCTCAAAATATTTCTTTTTAATTTTTATTGCAGGTATTCTTCCTTTATTTTTTACTTACTTTATTTTAAAGCTGAAAGTGGCTAAATTTTAAAATGTAAAATAATTTACCAAATATAAAACAGTGTGTGACAGGAACCACGGTGTGTGAAGAAAATGATTTTACTTAAAAATGACAATATTATTATACTGGAATCGATACTAATAACGTATTTATTATTGATAAATCGAATATAATTTTATTGAATAGTAATTTCGAGTTTTTTTTCAATGTTCTTTTTAGTTGAAGAAGTTTAATCAACAAAAATAAAAAAACAAAAAAAACTGAAATAAATACAAAAAACACAAATATGTATAAGAAAATTGGAATGTGTGTGGAACTATGTAGTGTATTATTAACATGAAAAGGTAATCATAGAAAGTTAAACCATTAATAAGGAATGGAAAGTTATTATTATAAAAGCCGAAATCGATAAGATGTTATAATGGGGGTAAACATAGAAGAAAGAAAATTTATTTTTTTTTTTAATTTTGTTTCTTTTTCTTTTTGAAATAAATAAGTTTAATACGTTCGAGAACTTTCTTATACGTATGTGTTACATATTATATACATATATTTAAAGTATTATGTTTGTGTTAATTTGGGACGCCATATTGTTTTAAGTGAAAAGTTTTATTAAAGATTTTATTAATGATTATTTGAATATGAAATTCTTTTTGTATGTGCCTAGTATGTAAAGTTTTTGTTTTCTATATAATTCGTTTTAAGTCGATATACATTTTGGTTAATTATATGTATATGTATGCATATGGATAAGATTTAAAATAAGTTAAAAAAAACTAATATTTAGGTTAGGAAGCAAAAATAATATTTAGGTAGTTGAATCAAATTAGATTTTTTCTATTTTTGCCGTTTAATGATTTGAAGAAGCAAAGATTTTCACAATGATTTATCAATTTTTTCATATATATTAGATATTATATCCAAAGTAATTCCATATATATCTCTCATGGCCACAAAGGTCAGAGAGTAACTCAAAAAAATTACATGGAGTTTAAATGGAAGGGGTGTCGGAAATTATTTGTGCGAAGAAATTTATTAATATAAAAATATTAAATAGAGGTAAAAAGCACTACTGGTTATAGATATTTTTTTTAATTAAAATTAAAATTTCAAAAAAATCCAAACATTCTTTTAGGAATATAATTTTAAAACGAGAATAGTTATATTTTACCGTGTCAACTCTGTGATATCCGTACGAATAAATAATTTTAAATGTCGAAGATATTTGACCTACAGTTTCACACAAGTTCTTGCTTTTTAGCACTTTTCCAAAAATTTTTTGAAAAAAAGTGTTTATTAGTTTCACTCTGTCTGTCCGTCCGCGGACACTTTTTTTGTTTACAAAACTTCTACACCCTTGAAGATAGAAAGCTGAAATTTAATATGTACATAGATCTTTACTAGAAACTTATTTCCGTAGAACAAAATTTTTACATATCTCCTCCCCCCCTCCCCTGGAAGTTATACCCCTCCAAATCCAAAAAAATTGCCTTTTTTAACTATTTGTTGCAATGAAACCATAAGCATTTTTGAAATTTTGCAAACGCAAAAAGTTAAATTTTAGAAAAACAAAATGGCCGTTCAAATTTACAGTTATCTAAAGTCCTTTTTTTCCAAATTTTTGATGTCGTTTTTCTTGTAATTTTAGGGATTTTTAAACCTTAAGAAATAGTTCATTTGGTTTTTTTTCATCTCCACCCCCTCTCAAGTTATCGCCTCTTGAAATTTGTAAAGTTTGAATTTTTGACACCTTATATTTCCGAAACCGCAAGCTTTTTCAAATTTCTATAAACACAAAAAGCTAGCGGTAATTTCCATGACATTAAAAAATATAATTATTTTTCTTAACTCACACAATTAACCTTAAAATCGAGCATTATGTTAACCCCACTTTATATTAATTTTTGGTTTATTTCAAAGACTGCATTAATCGTTCATCCTAAATATATGCAATCCTAATAGTTTTGTATATGAATGAAAATAATTACCGACCGTATTGAGTATACAATAGGTAGGTCATGTGATGGCAACAAATTTTGCATATCGAGTTTTCTGTGGGAATGCACTTCTCCATAGTAGAGAAGTGTAAATAAACTATTTTCCGACTACCTGTCGGTCCGTCGGTCTGTGTGTGCGCGCTTGTATCTCAAGTTCTACTGAACCGATTTTGATGAAATTTCATATATAAGTTTATTTCCACAATGGCACGGTTTGAACAACTTTTGGGATATATCAGGCCTCGGGAACTGCACTTTTTAGCGGGCCTGTTTTACATTTTTGACCATTTTGAAGAAAATATTCAACCAATTTACTTGAAATTTCATATATAAGCTCAGCTCGAACGTCCGCGAAACCTCTAAAATTTTGGAAGAGATCAGGTGTCAGCAACTGGACGTTTACTACGGGCCGAATATACATTTTTGCGTATATAAGGAGAAATAGTCGACCCATTTCATTGAAATTTAATATTTAAATTCTTCGTATTAAAACAATGAACATATAAATTTTTTGGAAAGATCAGGGCTCGAAAACTGATCTGCGGGCCGATTTTACATTTTTACCATATTTACGGAACGAAATGATGGAATTTCTTGAAATTTGATATTTGAGTTCTGGTTGTTATCGAAACTAACTGGCTAGGATTTCAGGGAATTCCGGTAGCACAAAGCGAAATTCTACCAAGAGGTATGTTAGCTATAAGCTTACTAATGTCCTAAGAATTGGAAAGAAGTATTTAACAGACATTTTTATAATATTCTGTAACACTTTCACTTAACTAGACAATACACATTGCGGTCGGTTATGTGCTGACCACATCAGATTTTTTTAATTGAAATAAAAATTATTTGATAGTTACATACTTATACGTTTGTAAATATGTACATTCAATAGATAATTTTAGTTTTTATTAATGAAATTGTTATACAAAGTTGTTTTTCAGTTTAATTCCCTATAAAAACTTCTGGGTGCATTTGCATAACACAATATATAATTTTTAAAAATTTGGCTCGTAGGTCTCACAAGTTTTGCCACCCAGGCTATAGATGATGCATTTCATTATACATAAGTTTAAAAATTTTTATAAATATAATATTAAAATATAAAATTGATCATATTCATGTGCTACTTAAAATACACAATTACAATTTTGTATTAAATACTCGTATTTGCATGAAATTGAGGCTAACATAAGGTTTTTTTGACCCTAGATTAAAAATATGATTTAACGTTCAAAATCTTTTTATCTTTATTAAAAAAAAATCTCCTTTTTATTTTTTTTTATATGTAGATAATTATGAATGCATATATTATGTAAAAATTATCTTTACATGGAATAATCTTATGCTTCACTTGAAAAAAAGAAGAATCTAAACAAAAACATAATTTAGAAACGCAAAAAAGAAAACTTTTCTCTTCCTATTATTGCAAATTGTCTATGGTTATCATTCACATTAAATCCTTCAAATCAATTTTTTTTTATTCTTTTACATACGTACATGCAACATACTCATGCAACGATATTTACATAATTATTTAAGTATGCATCATATTATATAATGCAAACTATATTTCTAATAATCTGTCTATATTTAATTGACTTAAGACTAAGGGAGATAAAAATGTCAATATAAAAGTTCAAGATATGTGTTGTTAGCTCATACCACCATTACGCTGTTACAGTTGTATACATTATATGTGTGTTTAAAAATGTCTCCGTGTTTTTATAACTATATTGCCACTCCGTTTGTAATACTTAGAAGTAACCTTCCGAGTTGTAGTTTTTCATAAGCGTCAAATTCTGATCAATTTATACATCAGTCCGAGCAATTAATCAAAATTTATTGAGTAACGATTAACAAATTTTGCAAAGTGGACGTGCCGTGATTTTGATAGTTTTCATAAAACTTCAAAAGTCATTAGTTTTTATGTCAAAAGTAATAAAACCTATAGCATTGAAATTTTGTACAAGCAAATATTTTAGTAGGGCGCTTATATTTAATAAAACTTGTTGGAATTATACGAGTATGCTTCTTGTGGTATTGAAAACAGTATTGAAATTTTGCAAAAATAAATATTGTAAACTCGTTATTATTTTCGGTACGAGATGCTAAGATCTATAATGTGCTGTCATACAACAGTTAACTGCCGTATAACTGCAATGTGGTAACTGCCATATATGTATAAAAAACCACTATATAAACGAAGAAGAGAATGCTTTTATTATTATCATATACAACAATTAAAATCATTCATTCGTACGGATATCATAGAGTTAATATTGTCAACTCTACCTATTCTAGTTGAAAATATTATATATTTATGATTTATGTATATTGTACAATAGATTGATATAATGTACACAATATATTATAAACGTGTGTACTTACGTTGGTTCCGATGACGGTCTTTGTTCACTAACACGCTTTTCAGCTCTAGGCAATTGCTCTTCATGTTGAAGTGTATCTTGTTTTCGATATGAGTAAATTGGTTGATCGTTATAAGATGTTTGACCTGAATCTGGTTCAGTATCTTCCTCTTCATCATCACCATTATCATCATCATCCTCACTGGTTGTATCTTCGTCATCTTCAATACTACTTTTGTATATGTCAGGATTATTACGTTGGGATGATTGTGAAAATGTTGAAGTTGATGACGACGACGATGACGGAGATGATAATGCAGATGATGTTAATTGTTTTTGTTGCCTTCCATTCTGTGATGATTTTATTTTGAAGATATCGGTTATTAAAACAAAATGTAAGTTGAATTAAAAAAGAGAAAAATAATGTTATTTTTATACTATGTATAACAAATAATGATTTGTATTTGATGTCTTAAATTTAAAAAAAAAATAAATTTGTCTAAAACAAGAATGTATATCAATTAATAAAATATTTATAAAGATGAGAAATTGGTATGGTTCGATAACAATAGTTATTGTTTGAAATGGGACTAGTGTTTAAAAAAAAGTATTAGACTACTATTTGCAGTTTATTTGAGTTTAAATAATAGATTGTTAGTTATTATTCACAAATTGTTTTATTTTTTAACAAATATTCAAATAATTCCTAACGATCCAACGTAGGTTATTAAAATGTAGATTATAATATTTCTATATAGCTATGACAAATCTAACGTGAATCCATTGATTAAACAACCAAAAGATTTTCGCTGCCGAATTTTTTTTCAACATAAACTCAAATTCTGTTAATTAATCTAATCAAGAATTTTGTATATGCACATAATATTATTTGCAGATGTATATTGAAACGCGTACGCTTACATATGTATAGATATTACACAATGAAATATTTTATATCGGTACAATACTCTACAAACGGTTACCCTTTTATGCAAATGAAGTACACAGACAATTTTTTTATTAACTTTTCAAGTCCTTATATTGTCATAATTTCTATGTTGAAAAGCCTTGTCATTTCCCATATCAGGTTTTATATAGCAGAAAGTCATGCTTGTGTAACTTTAAATCAAAAAATTTCTATTTTATTTTTTGAAAGTCATGCATTATACTTTGCAAAGCTATTGTTTCATAGTTTTATACATGAAAAGATGTATGTTCTCTTAGTATACATATAATTATTTCTACATTTCTTATTTTTAGCTAGCACGTGGAGGAGCAAACTTACATGTTTTTATGGTTTGTATGTTCGAGCAAATTTTATAATATAACATTAATAGTACTCGTATTACTAGAAGTCAAGTATAAGCTGCAGTTATACATGTGTATGTATATATATTCAAGTGATTAACGTTTTTATTTTTGCTTTAGAATACGCGATTTAAAAATTTTTTTACGTGTTAATAGCGGTTGTAGTTCAGGACGAAAGAAGTAAAAATATGCGGGTATTAATAATTGTGTATGAATAATTAAGATGAAGCGTGTTCTATAAGTAACTTTGCAACATCGTATATAACCATTGATTTCATGTTAAACATAACCACTTAACATTTATGTTGCTAATGTAAATTCATTTAAATATTTGAATAAATTGTGGTCCAATTAATGTGTTGTAAAATAACACTTTTGAGTTCAACAAGTGAAAATACTCTCTTAAAAATCAAAAAACAAATATACAGAAAAGTCTTCTTTTTAAGAAGTTTGTATATCATCGAAAAATTTATTGTGCAAATATACATATAAACTTGCTCATTATGAATCCCATTTCTGAACGAGGCTTTCAATCATATCGTGAACTGCAATACTGCATGTCTGGATATCGTTAGGTACACAAAAAATCAGTAGAATCATTATTTCAAAGTTTAATTACTTATTAAAAATTCAGAATAGAAAGAAAGACACATAACTAGAATGAAAATTGACCAAAGTCATAGCTTTTACCGCAACTATCTATTAGGCACTTCCTTGGGATGATGAAGGTGACCGGAATGCACTTCGCAATAAGAATTTTTCAGAGGTATTCGAAGTAATTTGTTAAGCGGCGTATTTCTTTTAATTTCTGCCAACTATTTCATGCTGGTTTCAAATTAATTTTAAAACTTTGTTTCGGTTTTATGTGATTTTGGAAAATTTCGGAACGTATCGCAACTTTTTCAAGGCAAGAAAGTAAGTAATTGAGTTAAGTAAATAAGCAGTTATATTTTTTGACGGCATAAAAAAATTTGTCTTTAGTTTTTACGCAAACTCAAACTTAAATTGAGAAATTTAATAGAAACAAATTCAATAAATTAAAAAGAAATGATTTTACATTTGTTAATTTTTTGTATTTTTCGTTTGAATTATAGTTTTTACAAATTCAATGTTCACCTTACTGATACCTAACTAGTTAGTTTCTAATTAGTTAACTAGATTCAAAATGAAATATGTAGATTAAATCAAACTTTTGCGCTCTTGTTATATCAATTTTAAACAATTATAATATCAAAACTTGTTTCCGACATGAAATTATACATAAACCGAATTGTGTGTCAACACACACGCCTATCTATAATTGCTCAAATGTGGTTAAATCGTTCAATCGCGCCAACATGATTTAATAGAACTGATTTGCATGATTTAATAGAAACGAGAAAGTTTCCATTCTTTTTTTTTTTTAATTTTAATTTTTTTGTTATTAATTTTTTGAATGAGTATCTTTTAAAGAAAAATTTTGGTAACAAAGTTGTTTTTAATTGGTTTTTAAGTGAAAACAATTATTATTATGCGCGCGATATGATCTAAAAGTATTTGGAAAATCTAACTTATTTTTTAATACTTTTATTGTTTTACATGGTTGTTGTGAACTAGTTTACTGTAAATATTTTAAATTTTCTTAAAATAATTTCTATTGGTGTTATTGCTATTAAATTTTCTTTTATGTGTTTGGTTTTTACCACAATTTTAATATGAAACAGACGTAACAAGTGCTATCTTAAGTTATGGTGCTTTATCCTTTTGTACGTATACAATGTAAATGTTAAATTCGTAAACGATGTTTTATATTTTATTGTCCCTAATGTGCATTAAATGAACTTTTAAAAGTTTTACATGTCTTCGTATTTTTTTTGTGTTTTTGGTTTGTTGTTTGTTATATACATACTGTAAGCAATTATAAATACTTTTGAAAAACAGAAAGGAAAAGTTTTTTTTGAAAAGGAGATCGAAATTGAGAGTTTAATGTTGCTTTTTTTCGTTTAAATTTTAAGAATAAAATTAAATGCTCTTGAGGGTATTAAATAACTAATTAAGATGATCTAAAAAAATATTGATAAAATATTTTTCAGCACGAAATTCTCTTTGGGTAATTATTTTCACATTTTATAAGGAGACTTTGATACTTAGTTTGTTAAAAGCAATAATTTAAGTTCAATTATATTATCAAAAAGTAATTTAAAAAAGTGTTTGGCTTCTATTTTTCCAAAAAAAATATGTATGCAAACATGGATTAAGAGTCTTTTATGTTTTTATAAAAAATATTTAATAGCTCAATTTTATTTGAAAATAAAAATAATTATTAAAACATTATGTCACTAATCGTTCCTTTTTTTTCAGTGCGCAAACATATATAAAATGTGATGAGCAATTAAAACAAATGAAATCTTAATGAACTTTTAATATTTTGCGTAAATTTTTAATTTATTACATTTTGTCCTGAAACTTTTGTTATTAACCTAAGATAATCGCAACGTTGCAATGCATCGAAAAATTTTAGAAATCTGAAATGTTCTAGTTGTGTAAATACATGCCATATATATTTTCTTAGTGTATTTCAAGGAACGCTATTTTTATTTAAAAATAACGTACGTCTTGAATATTCAATTTTGTCTTTCAAACACATTCTGGATACGTAGTTAAGAATACGTTTCGAATACAATGTATGAACTAAGATAGATATAAAGATGAGTGATATTAGTTGATCGATACTAAATGAAGATGGGTCAAACCAATTGTTTATATTGTATCACTTTTCCTTCAACAAGTGAAAATACTGCTTCTAAAAGCAATCTATGTATGCCTACTACACTATTAAAATTAATTTTATTCGTATACGAAACTATTTCATTAAAGATTGCATATATTTCGGATGAGTGATTTATGCTGCGTTTGAAATAAAGCAAAAATTTATTTAAAGAAGGTTTAACATAATGCTCGATTTTAGGGGTTAATTGTGTTAGTTAATAATAATTATATTTTTATTGGCATGGAGTTTAGAGAAATTCAAATTTTACAAATTTCAAGAGGCTAAACCTGAGAGGGGGTGGAGATGCAAAAAAATTTTCTTCTAACGAAATGAATTATTTGTTTGTGTGCTGCTAAAATTTCAGGTTCCCATAACCTGGGGTCTAGAAGAAAATAGACATCAAAAATTTGGAAAAAAAGGATTTTAGATAACGGTAAATTTGAACGGCGATTTTGTTTTTTTTAAGTTAACTTTAAACTGTATGCCGCGCTAGGGGAAGCAAACCACTGCCTTTCTGCGTTTGCAAAATTTCATAAATGCTTACGGTTTCACTGCAATAAATAGTTAAAAAATGGATTTCTTAGGGTTTAACTTCTAGAGTAAAAATTTTCTTCTATGGAAATAAGTTTCTAGTAAAGATTTATGTACATGTTAAATTTCAGCTTTCTACCTTCAGAAGTTTTGTTAACATGTCCACGGGGGGAGGGACGGACAGAGTGGAAATAATAAGCTCTTTTTTTCAAATTTTTTTTGGAAAAGTGCTAAAAAATGAAACTCTTATAATTTAATTTAAATTAAATGGTTTCACAGTTAAATTAATTGGGTAAAGTTTTCGAACTTAAAATTTTTGAAGCATTTTCAAGAGAAAACAGTGTGTTCTAAACTAATCCGAAACTCTAAAAATCAAATAAGTCATTTGAATTCAAGTATGAGTTAAAATTCGATTCCGAAATAATATTTTGATTTTGAAAATTAAATTATGTAACTCAGTAACGAAATCAATTCGAAAAAAAAATTTGTCAGAAGGACTGAATTTTTTTTGTTATCAAATCTTTTATTTTCATTTATTTTTTTAATTTTAGTTTAAAAAAGAAGCAGATGATACGAAATAATTTTCAATTTTAAACAGAATTGTTATTTTTATTCCTCTAAAGTCGAAAAAGAACTATAAATTATCATTGATAAACTCGAAAATTGTTTGGTAATTCAAAAAATTTGATTATTATCAATTCAAGCTTGCATATTTTTTCTACGTTCCAGCTTTCATCAGCAACAAAAATAAATAAAGAAATAAAAATGAATACCAATTCCAAGGTATATTTCTGCTTTTTTTGTTTATTTTCCTATTTACCGTTATTTACCTTTAAATATCTTAAATAATCGCATACAAAGCGATAGTATTAAAAATATTTACTTTTTTATTTCTCAAATACTAATATTTTTTCATAATGGGCTCACAATATTGCAACAAATTAAAAAAAAAATGTATAAGAAATTATATAAAGTTATTTTGTTTTTGTTATCATACTCTGGAATAAACTAAACAAAACGAAGGAGGTATACTTACCGGTACAAGTATTTCATCGTCACATGAAATTCCAGTGGTGCATTCCTGTACTGGTGCGGGCCTATTGTGAGGTTCGCATTTAGTGCTTAATGTACCATCGTTTTCCAAGCATTCCACGCCTCGTATCTGTATGCCAGTACCACATGATACCGAACACTGATATCATTTTAAAGCGATTGAATAAAAAAAATAAAATAATGAAAAAATGAATAAAAAAATTAAATCACAGTAAATTTTAACATAGAAAGAAAACTCTTAGAAAAAAATTTAGTATTTATTTGATAAAAATTAAAACACAAGATGCACGAACATTTTCATAAAAACGGCGATATATACCTACATTCACACACATACAATGAAGCGAAAAAGAAAAATTTGAGTTTTAAAGAATAAAAAACAAAAAAAAAAGAAATTGTACTAAGATGTTTGTACACAATCAGGACCCTCTAAAATAATGTAATATGAAAGGCATACGAAGAACGTTCTCTTTCCTTTTTACCGACCGTATTGTGTAAACAATAGGTATGTTATGTGATGGCAACAAATTTTGCAAAACGAGTTTTCGGTGGGAACGTACTTCTCCATAGTAGGGAAGTGTAAATAAACTATTTTTAGCAACCTGTCAGTCTGTTGGTCTGTGTGTGGACGCATGTATCTCAAGTTCGGCTGAACCGATTTTGATGAAATTTTATATGTAAGTTTATTTCCACCATGGCACGGATTGATCAACTTTTGGTATATATCAGGCCTCGGGATTTTGAAAAAAATATTCAACCGATTTACTTGAAATTTTATATATAAGCTCAGCTCGACCATCCGCGAAAATTCCTATGTTTTGGAAGAAATCAGGCATCGGCAAATAAACGTTTACTACGGGCCCAATATACATTTTTGGGTATATAAAGAGAAATAATCAACCGATTTCATTGAAATTTAATATATGAATTCCTCGTGTTAAAACAATGAACACATAAATTTTTTGGAAAGATCAGGGCTCGAAAACTGATTTGCGGGCCGATTTTACATTTTTAACTATTTTGAAGAAAATATTCAACCGATTTACTTGAAATTTCATATATGAGCCTTGCTCGACCGTCCGTGGAAACTCCTAGCTTTTGGAACAAATCAGGCATCAGCAACTGGACGTTTGCCAAATACACATTTTTGTGTATATAAAGAGAAATAATCAACCGATTTCATTGAAACTTAATATTCGAATTCCTCGTATTAAAACAATGAAAATGTAAATTTTTTGGAAAGATCAGGCATCGGCAACTAGACGTTTACTACGGGCCAAATATACATTTTTATGTATATAAATAAAAATAATCAACCGATTTCATTGAAATTTAATATATGAATTCCTCATATTAAAGCAATGGACATATAAATTTTTTGGAAAGATCAGAGCTCGAAAACTGATCTACGGGCCGATTTTACATTTTTACCATATCTACGGAACGAGTTGATGGAATTTCTTGAAATTTGATATTTGAGTTCTGGTTGTTACCGGAACTAATTGGCGAGCATTTCAAGGAATTCGGGTAGCACAAAGCGAAACTCTACTAAGAGCCAAATTTACATTTTTCTGGGTATGTTAACTATAAGCTTACTAATGTCCTAAAAATTGGAAAGAAGTATTTAACAGACATTTTTATAATAACACTTCTGCAACACTTTCATTTAACTAGACAATACACAATGCGGTCGGTTATGTGCTGACCACATCATATTTTTTATTTTAATTTATTGTTTTTTTACATTTATTATTTTTGATGCAGTTTACTTTAGTTATTACTTTTCTTTCTTTTGCATTGTTATGTGCTCAGTTTCTATTATGATTTTTCGTCCTCTAAATCCTCAAACTAAGTACATAACGAAATTTTGTGACAATTTGAGCAAAGAATCTTGGCAGAAACCAAATAAAAATTCCACAAGAAAACTTACATTCAACTATAGTAAAAATTTAGGAAATAATAATAAAGGGACAAAATCAGTTGGCATTATATTTTTATTTTTAAAAAAGAAAATACCAAAACAAAGTTCGAAATTAAAAAGGTTTAAAAATAAAATAAAATTGAATCAAACCGATGGTTTATATAGAAGTACTTTTCCCTTGAACAAGTTAAAATAGTGTTTTTATTAAGAGCATTAATGTAACATTATTCAAATTATTTTTACTCATATATCAAAACACATCAATTTATTGCATACATTCAGGTTAATTTTAGGTTGTGTTATCAGTGTTCAATGGTGTTATGACGCGGTAGAAGAAGCATATCGTTTCCGTTGTTTGCGTTTTCGGCAACAAAACAAACGTTTATGGTTTCGTTATACAGTCAAAAAATGAAATTTGTAGGACTTTGAGGGGACGAGATATGTAAAAATTTTGTTCTAGAAAAATAAGTTGAGATAACATTACTATCTCAAAGGGTGTAGAAGTTTTGTAATTAGACACACGGACAGATGAACGGACAGACAGAATGAAACTAATGATAACTTTTTTCCACTTTTTTTTGAAAAAGTGCTAAAAAAAGTAGATTTCTACACTACAGAGGCGATTACGATTACGAGTTCATAAACACAGAAGCAACTTGAAAAGTTGTCAATGTCTGCAATACTGGTTCAGGTAAATATGATGGTTATTACATTATTGCAGTTAAAACATATTATTTTATTTCAGTCTTATTTTTTAAAAAACTTAACATATTCTTTTGGTTAACAAAATATGTAAAATAAAAGTAACAAAAGAAAGTAAAAGAAGTAAAAACGTTTCAGTCGGTATAAACCGATTGAATTATACCCTGAACCTTTCGTTATTGTGCCGCAATTACTCGAACCTGTGAAATCATTCTATAGAAACTTCATGGCCATGTCTAACCTATAATTGGACATCCGACTGCCAAGTTTCATGAATCTGAGTTTATATTTTTTCCAAATATTTAAAATTGGCTTTTGGAGTTGTATGGCAAGTACCTGAACCTGTCAAGCAATTCCATTAAAACTTCACAAATATATCTAATCTATAATCGGACACACAACTGCCAAGTTTCATGAATCTGACTTTATTATTTTTCCAAATATTAAGAATAAGCTTTTAGACTTGTATGGGATCTACTCGAACATGTTAAGCAATTCCATCAAAACTTCAGAAATATATCTGACCTATAACTCGACACACAACTGCCAAGTTTCATGAATCTGACTTTATTATTTTTTCCAAATATTTAAAACTGGCTTCTGGATTTGTATGGCAGGTACCCGAACCTGTCGAGCAATTCCTCTAAGACTTCAGAAATATATTTGACCTATAATTGGGCACATGACTTTATTATTTTGCCGAATATAAAAAATTTGCTGTTGGAGTTGTATGGCAGCCACCCGAACCGGTGCAGCTATCCCATTAAAATTTTTAGAGCATGTGTAGAATATAATTGGACACATGTATACAAAATTTTATATTTATAGCTTTATTAGCTTTTGAAATATTTAAAATAAACTCTTTGAGTTGTATGGCAGCTACCCGAACCCGTTGTCCGAATTAGTCCAATAACAATAGGGTTCGTCCTTGGCACAAAACAAAAAACTTGTAAAAGTTTGGTGTCGATTGCATTATTCGTTTTTGAGTTATCGTGCGATCGGACGGACGGACATGTCTAAATCGACGCAGAATTTTACGCTGAGCAAGAATATATATATATGTCCATACCGCAGATGACTCCTTCAAGTAGTTACAAACACCATACCAAAGTTAATATACCCTTCACGAAGTGCAGGGTATAAAATGGAAGATTTCCATGTGAAAAGAAAAAACATTAAGCGTTTAAATACTTCATTTAGCGATCAATTGCAAGAAGATCAGTTCACCAGCCGATCAGTTTCTTTGTCCAATCTTTCTTGAACATTATTTCATTGAAAATTAAAATAATTATGAAGTATAAAAAAATTCAATACTTATAAAACAATTTATTATACCCGTACGAACAATACTGACAAACAACCATACAATACTGAAATTTTGCATAAATTAATATGGTAATCGGCTATGACATATTTATTCGCACATAGGTTAACAAATTCGTACGGGTATTCCAGAGTTGACGAGGTCAACTCTATTTTTTCTAGTTTTTTAATTTAATAATATTTGCAACTAAAAGACTTTATTTAAGAATTATTAAGTTTCAGCTTATTATTTAAGGTACTCAAGAAACAAAATTTGTTAAACTTTTCTCGTATATGGCTTAAAAGATATCCTGTGCATTTTGTGCTCCATATATTCCAAATATTTTATATTACACGTAACGTAGTTATGTAATCTGTAAAAATGTTTATCCATAAATATATATCTGTACATAATTCTTTTGGCGTCAGGTGAACTTAAAGGTAATTGAATAGAAACTTTGATTAAACTTTTAAATTCGATTACTTTAAATTACATTGGCAGACCTCCTAAACAATGTATATTGGTTTGTATGTGTATAATTATTATTGTATATATGTTCATATTATAATGCTAAGGAGAAATATTTTGAAAATAGATTTATATAAGCATAAAGTTTATCTGATTCCTTTAGTTTTCTTTAATTTTTTTAAATTTTAAGAATTTTAATTATCACCTTGTTTTTTTTTCATTCTAGACGAACATTTACGGTTGCATTATAATGTTTACGTACATAATGTATGTACATACGTATATACAACATAGACTTTTTCCAATTTTAAAGTAAGTAATTCACTAAATATTTAGAAAATATGTAGTAAATATATTAAATTTTTGATTAAAATTGACAAGAGCTTGTATTCATTTAAACATACTAAATTGCGATTGATAATAATGGAAAATATACACTTAATAATATAATGCAAATAAAGCGTTATTTACAATGTCAAGGGCTAACAAAATTCTTATAATTAACAAAAATGGGTACGAAAACATTCTTGTGGTTTTGAAACCTGTGAGTAATTTTTTGAATTTAATTAGTTCAACGGAAATTCTGGTGCAATTTTATATTCAAAAGTATTATACAACTTCTATTTGCCGGCTGAAAACTAGCCTATACTTTGACCATCTGAATATAAAAATTTGAGGCAAGGTTGAGAAATTTTAGGGAATCAAGTTAATTATTGTTTGTAACACCTACTCCTAATGTACAATTTATAATATTACAAACTCTAATATTATAATATAACAAACTCTAATATTATAAATTCTTATAAATGAGAACTTTTTGCGGTCAACCAGAACCTGAGGAGAACAAAATTTTTGAAAATCGAGTAAACTATAATTCGACGCTTTCTAAATAAATTTCATGCAGCTGTCTTAAATACTTTTTGCGTTGTTAAAAATGACTTTTCAGTTGTTTTGCTGACCTCACTAGAATTTTTGAGAAATGTCTCAGCGCTAATTGATCACATGACTACCTTATTTGATGCAGTTACAGCTTTATTATTTTTTTTTGCATATGAAATTCATTATTAGAGTTGAATAGCTATCGGAATCAGTACATATACTTATCCTTCCACGTTTTCTCTTCGTTATTACCCTTGTGATTGGCTCTTGGTGAATAATTTTTAAACTTCTATTTATGCACACCTATGTTTTATTTTTATATTCATTCTTTGTGAGCCATGTTTCAGAAGTATGCAACAGGACCGATTTCACGCAAGTGCTGAATATTCTTACTTTCTTTTTCTTAAAATAATTGAATTGCTCGACATCTTGTATTGGACTTCTGTTTATGAAGGGGATAGGGTTTACCGTGTACATTCGGAGTAAGCTGGTTTTTCCTATACTGATTTTCAAGCAGACTTCTTTCGCTAATCCAGTTTTACTTGCATGTGGGTTAGCAGAGAAAGGTCATTCGCGTATTCCAAATCTTCTAAGCGGTTGCTTTAAGGTATAATGGCTCACCCAGTTTCAAGTAGTCAGTTCTGGTAGTAAATTCTACTCTATTAGTAAATGCTCTCCTTATGGTGTCCAACTTTAATTTGTCGAACCCTTTTGCAAAGTCGATAAGTGTTATGTACAGTGGGGATTTCCATTTAATCAGCTGCTTCAAAATTAGTCTCTCTAAAATTCGAATGATCTATGAATCCTTTCTTTTTCTGAAATCAGACGACCTTTTTTCATAGTTTTTTGAAATTATTGAAAAGAAGTAAACTTTTTTACTTCTCTTAATACTGCTAATTTAGAGCTAAATTAAACTAAGAATAAAAGCAAATATACTCTCCAAAGCTGGTATAGACTTAATAAAGGTTTAGCTAAACTGTATTGGCTGCTTATTTATTATAATATAAAAGGTAGTGTATTGCATTTAGGGTCACATAGTATACAAAAAATTTTGTTAACGGAAAATCAAAGAGAACTTATTACTGTTATAACTATACATGTGAGGAATGGTATTGCCAGTCTCGCACAAATAGTCAAGTATATTTGTACACATATTTTTTATTGATATTATACATGTGTTTTTGCGTTAGTAAAAATGGAAAAATCTTGAACCGGGGTAAGGGTTTTATTGTTCTGCGAGTTCTTGCAAAACAAGTTAGTATATTTGCTATAGTATCTAATGAACCAAAGGATTAAGAAAATTGAAGAAAAAATTTTTTATAACAATTAAGTTAATATAATTTTAAAGTATTATTGATGCCTCTTAGAACAATATCAAATTTAATTATATTTTTTAGTATTGTATAACTATGAATAGTATCAGAAAAACCATTTCTGTGATTTTGTGTTGCAGCACTATGCACAAATATCTACATCTAAGTATGCACTTCAAATTGCAACACATTGATTGATGAAAAAGAAATACAAAAAAACTAAAAGCATTAGAGAATACGGTCTGAATGAACCTGAAACATTTACTTGCCATTAGGATATTGCTTTTCCGTGTTCAATGTCCTTATACAATGATTTCGTAAAAATGTGAGCAAATACGAACAAAAAAATTAAAAAAATTCTCAACAAAAAAAAACATGATACAAAGAATTGAAAATTTCACTAAAATTTAATTTTAATGAGAGCAAAATTGGTTTTTTGATATTTTTTTTTTTATTTTTATATCCATTTCAAAAATTGAACAAAAAGACAAAAATATAAAGAACTAAATGTACCAAAAAAAAAAAAAGTACTTGGTCAAAAAGATGAGGAAGAAGAGAATAAAAAATTTAATGGAACTAATTTAGAAGTTTCTCGACTAGTTTAGTGTGTTTTTTGTTTTCTTTTTTTGAAATGAGAATGTGAGATACCAAAAATAGAAACAAAATAATAAAATTTTTTTTTTCAAATTCTTGTAAATTTGTACAGAATTCTCAAATGATTATACTAGAGGGTAAAATTATAATGCTTAAACATCTCATCAAAAATTCTCTACATAATTGCAATATTTCCAGAGATTTGATTATACGAGTATGCTTTGAATATTTTTCAATATAAATAAATGTGTTTGTATATTTTACCTACATACGGTACGGTATGCATATCTCTTACGTAATATACCTACACAACACAGATAAACATTTATAACTATTCTTTTTCTTTTCAAAATTTGATAACATCCAAGGTTACTAAGCGTAAAAATTATGTGAATGAGACAAAAAGTAAATGAATTTTTCCTTTTTAAGTTATGTAACTTTTACATTTACTTTATAATGAATTTAACTTTTTAATTTTTTCCGTAAAGCAATTGAAAAACAAGAATCAAAAATTTAATATGAAAAAATTTTTTAAATTTTGTAAGAATTTAATTTTTGATAATTGTCATGTGTAATTAATTGTGTTTTTTGATTGATTAAAGATTATGTCCGTTATCCTTTTGTTTGTATTAATTCATTAGGACAAAAATTTATCTGTTTTAATTTGCTGGAGAAACAAAATTCAAAGAGTATAGTTAAAATTTTATTAAAAAGCATTAAAGAAATAGATAGGGTCAAAAGCTTACTCATTACATTCATTACATTTCCGAACTAAATGGTTCATTTACACATTTCTATACGCACTGTATATTAAAAAAATGCTATTGTCATTTTAGAACTTGCTTATATTTTATTTAAATTACATATATATTAATTTTTTATTATTCACAAATCATTTTTTAATTTAATTAAAAATTTTATATCACTCTCAAAAATTCTAAAATCAATGTGAAACGTAAGACCGTGAAGATTATCTTTAAAATGAGTTACAACATCGTTGTAAAACTCTGAACGGTTCGTTATCCCCCACCGCTATTTTCGGTAAAATTTCACCGATTTTGAAAAAAAAATACTATAAATTTCTATTTTGTCTAATATATTTCAAGAAAATTTTATTTATGAGGTTAAATATTGAAGTAATTGAAAATATAGTCGTCAAACGTATAGTTTATAAAATAACGTACATAATATCCTTTAAGCAATTTAAGTTTAAAATGGTCTATTGAAATGATTCTTATGATAACAAATGCATAAATGTATATATTGTATAAATTTGAGAGAAATTTAAAAATAATATACTAATAATTTATATTAATGTAAAGGTTGAATTTTTTAGGATAATATAAAATTTTTATTGATCTACGAAATGTTTTTTGTTTCATTTGACATGAAGCAAAAGCAAAAAACTGATTGAGGAAAATAGAAAATCATTTCTTTCAGAAATAAGTTTTTTAAAAATTTAGAAACTGTTCGGACAGTTTTTCGATTCGGACATTGTAATTTCTCAAGAACATGATTTTTCACAACTTTGTGGAGCTATAATACGGAGGGAGGTGGTGATACAAACAAATTTTATTGCAGAAAAATAATATCTTCACTAAAACCTCTTTCTATACAATTTCTTTTTCGTATCTTGAACGCGATAGAAGTTTTGTAAAAAGACGGATAGACAGAGTGAAACTAAATAGACAGAGTGAAATTTTTGTAAAATGCGTAAGAAATGTCTATCAATAGATTGTTCAAAAATTTATCGCTATTTCAAAAACATTTGACTCAAAGACTTTTAAGTGAAGTTTAATCAATTACATGCAAGTATAAACACAGAGGGTTTGCTTTAAAAACGTTCCGCTACAATATATCGTTAAAGTTAGAGTTTGTAAACCTTTTGTATGGAGATATTGTTTCACATTGAACAGTCCAATAGTTTACAAAAAATGGAAGCCTCTTTCTTATGAACAAGGACTTTTTAACGATGGTATCTGCTAACTAAAAAAGTTTCAGTTTTATGGAATCAGAAGTTTTCAAAACTCAAAAAATATCAAGATTTAACTTTTACTTTTAAAGAAGTTACATTAATATTGTGCGATTTTTTATAATGTTAGAATATCTGGTATACCGATATACTGAATTTTCTAGCTTTCGTCTGCTTTGGGAGTCGTGCGACAAAAAAGTAGTAAAATAATTGGAGATTTTTCATTCAAGAACATAAGAAGTTTGAATTTACGTTTTTTTTTATCTTTTACTAGTTCTGATATAACTTCAATTTATACATATTGATGACGAATTTTCTAAATAAATATTCTTAGTTCTTAAAATTTAAATTTTTGCTCTGGAAATCTTTTAAAATATTTGTTTGTTAAATCAGAGCTTCACGAAATCGGAGCTTATAATGTCAAAGAACACAAACCAACACTAATTTAGATAACTCTTATGAAAAAAACTCAATGACAAATAAAAATGAAATTTTTAATTATAATTTGTCTTAGCAAAAAAGGAAAATTTTTACTTACTCCTGACCATTCTGTTGGCATCCATTGTGGACATTCATGCATATTACATTCTTCTCGTGTTTGAGGCTTAGACATTGTACACAATTCTTTTGGAACCTGAAATTGATTGATAAAAATTGTGAATATCATTATTTTCTGTACCTATAATATTTACATAATTTAGTTTTACAAAATCCAAAACACCGAGATTTTTTGTTGCATTAATTATAAAATATTATTGCATAAGATGTAATTGATGTTCCTTGATAATTTGTCGCCTGTCGCTTTTTTCTATTCATAATAAGCAATTTTTTTAAATTTTTACCTAGATGAGCGAAAAATCTCTACTTGTATAATATACATAACATACATACATACATAATATATTTTTCTTGATTAACCTCTTTTCCATGTGAAACTTTAATATGTTTAACAAAATACATACATATGTAGGTATGTATATTTTTTGTTGTTTATGATGAGAAACGATATAGAACTAATAAAAATTTCTTCGAAAAAATCATTCCATTATTTCAAGGCCAAATATGATGTATAAAATTATTTTCTATAGTAGCTATTTTTCAGATTCGAAATGCGAAGATAATTAATCATATTGAAAATTTAATTGAATTAATTTAAAATAAATTAATTTATTTAAAATGGTTTAAGTACCTATATATATTTTTTTCCTATTTTTAGCAATTTCCCAATGTCGTCATTAATAATTACCGACCGTATTGTGTAAACAATAGGTAGGTTATGTGATGGTAACAAATTTTGCATATCGAGTTTTCTGTGGAACGTACTTCTCCATAGTAGGGAAGTGTAAATAAACTATTTTTAGCAAGCTGTCGGTCTGTCGGTCTGGCGGTCTGTGTGTGGACGCGTGTATCTCAAGTTCGGCTGAACCGATTTTGATGAAATTTTATATGTAAGTTTGTTTCCACCATGGCACGGATTGATCAACTTTTGGTATATATCAGGCCTCGGGAACTGCACTTTTTAGCGGGCCTGTTTTACATTTTTGAACAATTTGAAGAAAATATTCAACCGATTTACTTGAAGTTTCATATATAAGCTCAGCTCGACCGTCCGCGAAAATTCCTATGTATAGGAAGAAATCAGACATCGGCAACTAGACGTTTACTACGGGCCAAATATACATTTTTGTGTATAAAGAGAAATAATCAACCGATTTCACTGAAATTTAATATATGAATTCCTCACATTAAAGCAATGAACATATAAATTTTTTGGAAAGATCGGGGCTCGAGAACTGATTTGCGGGCCGATTTTACATTTTTCACCATATCCACAGAACAAATTGATGGAATTTCTTGAAATTTGATATTTGAGTTCTGGTTGTTACCGAAACTAACTGGCGAGCATTTCAGGGAATTCGGGTAGCACAAAGCGAAACTCTACTAAGAGCCAAATTTACATTTTTCTAAGTATGTTAACTATAAGCTTACTAATATCCTAAAAATTGGAAAGAAGTATTTAACAGATATTTTTATAATATTCTGTAAAACTTTCATTTAACTAGACAATACACAATGCGGTCGGTTATGTGCTGACCACATCAGATTTTTTTTCATTAATTTACCAAAATTAATATATACATACATAGTATATATACATACACAAAAAAATATGCATGTGCATAACCTATAAATATTTCCAATTGATTAGTAGTCAATTGGAAATAAATTAATTGATTTTAAAATTATTTTCGAAAATATCAAATTCATTTCATTTTATATTTATCTATTGCTTAGTATACAAAATTTTACGAAATGTTTTTCTCTTACATAATACGAAAGCATGTAATTAAGCAATATAAATTTTGTTCACCTATATATACATATGCATACATCGCACATGATATTTTATATTTTTTGTAAACATTTTTTCGTTTTTAAAGTAAATAGATTTTAGAATCAGGTGTATTAAATTTCTCTAAAATTACAACATAGTACAAAAAACAAGCAAAAAATTCAAAGAAAATATATTTTTTCAAATCACTTATGAAAATTAATTTTAACTACTTACCACAGTTTTAACTCCGTTATTTTCTTCAGCACAAACGAGTGGTCTAACTCTAATACCGCCACCACATTGTCGATTACATACGGACCATTCATCTGTAAACCACCTGTAAAATAACAATTTTTAATATATTGGAATTTATACACACTTAAAGTTTGTGTGTGTGTTTGTTTTACACTATAATAATATTAGGTTATATAAGCTTGAACATATTTGAGATTTGGAAAAGTCAGTAACGTATATAGAAGAAAAGAAAAAAAAGCAGAAACGTAACGAAATGAAATGAAAACAAATCACGGAATGTAAAAAGGATTACTTTTAAGTCCTTAATGAAAAATATTTCACTCGTGGGAAAATAAATTAAGGATTCATTTTTTTTTCTCTTTATTCTTATTTGCATTTTTCCTATTTTTGTTATACTATTTTGTATATTTATTATTTTATCTCTAGAGATTTTTTTTACATATTTTAATTTTTTGTGTTCATTCACATTTCAGAACATAAAGAAAAAGTAAGGTATGTGCACATTATAGTGTGTTTTATATAATGCAGCATTAATCTATATAATGTAGGTATATAGAGTGTATATTAATATAATGATGAATTTTATAGATAATGTGAATGAATTGAATTTCACTATATAGAATAAAAACAAAAAAGAAATGAAAAGAAGAAAGCATAAAGGTTACTCACCTAGGCGGACATGTATGTGTATTACATTGCACAACAGATGGTTCAGGTCTTGTTATACCACTGCAAAGTGAATCTTCGACTTCATAACCAGTAACCCGATTCTTGCATATTGGCTGTGACATTTTATATCCTGTATGTGAAGTTTTTATATAGTGGTTGTTATAATTTTATATTTGTTTTTTTTTTTTTAAGATTTTAATTTTCCATGTGGATTTTATACGAAAATATAAATGTTTCGCAAAGTACAATTCGTTGTTTATGATAAAAAAAAAACAAGATAGAAATAATATATTAAATAGAAAGAAATATAGTAATATGAATAGAAAAGTATAAAATTAATGTTTCTACTCCATATAAATTTGGTTATTCAATTTCTCAACATTTTTTACCTTCTGTTTGGTAAAAAAATAAATATATTAAAGAAGATAAAAAATAATAAAAATATAACGTGGTAGCTTATGTATATTTATGTGTTTGTACATATTGTACTCTGTTAATATATATGTATAGTGAATAAAAACCATAGTATATTATACATAATAAAAAATATTGTATATAAATGAAAAATATGAATAAATCTGAGATATAAGCAAAAGAGATTAAGGAGATTGTAAAAATGAAAAAAAGGACATTCTATAAATGCTTTTGTATGTATGACACTATGTATAATAAAATATCAGTATCTACACCTATATTGTAAGTTAATGGTTTTGTGCATTAGTACGAAATTTATTGCACCGCTATAAACAATTTATTTTGACTTTATTAGGGGAAATGAAAGTTTTTTTTTACTGCACATAGTACGCTATATAGTTGTTATTTTTATGATTTCCAATGGGAGAAGATTATGCAATTTCAAAAAGGATCAAAATTTTACATCTTTTCGCAATATTAAGAAAATAGAAACACTTTTCTCATACTTATTTTTGCATTTTTATTATTATGGTAATATATTTTCATATTAAGGGTTTATGTACGGGAAAATTTTTTGTGTCTACAATAACATTTTGCTATCTATATGTAACATATTTTAAGATTTGGCTGTGCTAATTGCCATTGATTGAAATGATGCAACAATTGCTGTAGAAAATTTCCATCCATCGCCGTAAATATCGAAAATAAGCACCAATATGAAATAAATCAATGGAGGCTAATTGTTACCATTGCCAAATAGTGAAGCTGAATGAGTAATAATATGATTATTCTTTTAGTCAATATTCAATATTTTCATATTATGAAAAAAATTATATAATAATTATATAATATTATAAATGTAATATATGTAATTAAAATTATAAATTATATAAAATTTATTAAATCGATTCTAATAGTTTTTGTTTGAAATAAATTTGCATTTATTATTTCTTAAGGTGTATATTGTATACAAATATTTTTATTTTTTTTAATTATTTCAGTTGCTGATATATGATTTCCATAAATTGTTTGTGTTGCATCGCATCGAATGCACCTTGATAATCTGAGTAACCGAAGCTCTCAAGTCATTCCAAGGATGCATATAACCTATATAAGTTAACACATGATTGTCAAATTTCTTGAACCTAACTTTATTGTTTTTCCAAATAATTAAACTTGGCTTTTGCAGATGTATGGCAACTCCCTGAACCGTTCAAGCCATTCCATAAACACTTTAAAGATATATCTGAGCTGTAATTGGACACGCGGCTGTCGATTTTCATGCAGCTAGTTTTGTTATTTTTTCGAATATTTAAAATTAGTGTTAGGGGTTGTGTGGCAGTTACGCGAACCTGTCAAACCATTCTACAAAAACTTCGAGGGTATTTCTGACCCACAATTGGATATATGACTACCAAGTTTCATGAATCTAGCTTTATTATTTTTTCAAAAATTGAAAATTAACTTTCGGAGTTGTATACCAGCTACTCGAACCAGTGCAGCTATTCTATTAAAATTTTCAGAATATATAAAGAACATAATTGGACACATCTTTATTAAACTTTATATTTATACCTTTATTAGTTTTTGAAATATTTAAAATTTTTTAGATTGTATAGCAGATACCAGAACCCGTTGGTCGAATTGGTCCAATAAGAGTAGTGGTCATCCTTGGCACAAAAGAAGCAACTTGTGGAAGTTCGGTTGTACTTGTTTTATTCGTTTTTGAATTATCGTACAGACGGACATTTATAAATCAACTCCACACCAAAGTTTATACACCTCTCATAAAGGTGCAGGGTATAAAAAGAAATTTTAAAAAATAAAAATTTTTGCCTTTTTTTCCAGTACGTATGTATATTTTATAAAACTTAAAGTTTAATTCCAGGCTTTGATTCTATGACTAATCTTGAACTCAACATGATAAACTTTTTCACGACAAAACTAGCACGATAAAAAAATGATTTATGATGCGCAATGTGTGATGCTCATTGCATATTGTTCATTACTTGAAAAACCGAAGGACGGCACGCATTTAAGAAACCATGTAGGGCGACGGACAAGTTGGAAATGGGCCTGCCCATATGCATACATAATATATATACCAATTTTGAAAAAAGTTCACGAATTAAAAATTTAATCTTGCAATATTATAATGAATTTGGAAAACAATTCAAACATATGCACATTTGATCAAGAATGTTATTTGAAATCTGTAAATTGGTTTCCTGTAATTGATTTGAATAAAAATAATGAAAGAATATTCGATTAATTTTGTTAAACGTCTTAGCAAAAGAAACTTAATTATGGTGTTTAATATTAATTTAACTTCTCTTCAATAAATGCAGGAATACGAAAAATATACATACATATTTTGTTAATTTAAAAACAATGCTGCATTTTGGGGTATATTTTGTTATTTCTTATTTGTTTTGTGTTATACTGTTTTCATAAGAATGTCTTTAATCTAAAGATTTTTAAACACTGTAATCTTTTAAGTAATTTGTACAAAAGTACGAAGGTGATAATGTACGAATATCATTACTACAGGTATGCACTTGCATTATAATTATGACACACTAAATTATATATGAATATTAACAATGTGACAGCTAATATTTTTTTTTTAATTTTTTCTACTTATAGTTTGAGTACGCAATGACAAAAGCAAAAAAACAAACTTTATAAGAACAAAATAAAATGAAAAACAGAAAAAATAAAACAAACTTTTGAATATAAACTAACATTAAATTTTTTTTATTACTATTTTGTTTAACTATTTATTTGATTAATAAAATATGTATATGTATATAGTATTCATCGTCAGATATCATCAGTCAATAATATTTCACATGTATTATTCAAAAGAGTTGAAAGAGAAACCAAAATGCAAAGAAAACTACCAAATAAGTTAATGGAAAACAAGAATAAAAATTAGAATGGAAGAAAACAGTCCTAAATTTAATTGACGAAATATAAGAATTCACTTTACTCCATTATTACTGGCACGCATACATGAATTATAATTCAAAAGGCGGTGTTTTGTTATTTTTTAAGTATATATTTTTTCTTTGTATATTCTTAATTTACCCAAATCTTTTTAAAACAAAGTTGTTAAAATGAGGCAAATGGTAACTAGATTGTGTTATTTCGAATGTAGGTGTACTGTGTATGTATTTTATTATATCATGTTGCAAATGATAAAATTTATTTTTCAAAAAATTGCCTTTATATCATTTTTGTGTTGCTATTGTATAAGAGTTGTTATTTTTAATATTTGTAAAATTGTTTGCTAGATTGTTCATATACATATTACATTTTTAATATACAACGTCCTTGAGCTAAAACAAGGGTAAAAATGTATATAAACAAAAACAATAGGAAAAAAATTTAAACACCAAATATAATACATTACAAGTTTTATTGAAGAATGTGAAAATTCTTTTGTATTTTACTCATAAATGGAAAATGTCGCAATAAGACTGCTTTTACAAGCTGTATACACATACCTATTACCAACATAAAAATAATTTTTCCATAAAACACTATTGGAGAGGGAGAGAGATAGAAAGTTCGGATAAAGGGAATGACGAAAAGAAGAAATAGAAGTTCTGAGTTGAAACACCATAAAAATTGATCCTTTTTTTGCTCGGTTGTTCTTGTTTGATTTTCATTTTTCTAAATGTTATGAATTGAAAATGTTGAAAACGTTCATATATACGACCTAATTTATTGCTAGGGAATTGAATATTGTATTTATACATGCATAAGTGTATTGTACAAAAGTCTAGATAGGCAAATAAAAGTCTCCTTATAAAAATTCATTGTGTGTTTTTGCTCATCTTCTCTTCGTCATTTTTACGATGCTATTTGCTATTACATATGAATGAGATATCGATATATTATAATTTTAGCTTTTTTTTACTTTTCTTATTTTCCTATTTCAAATTCTTTTTTGTTATACAATTTTCTGTTGTTTCTTTTTTATTTTGTTTTCTTTTATTATATTTTCGAATTTTCTTTGAATGTAAATTCATTTTGCTCAAATATTTACATATACAGAATACTTACACAAGTATTATGCGAGTACAATATGAACACAATATAGATTGCATATACATATACGATATATTATGTACACATTTTTTATTTTTCAATTATTTATTGCTAGTGACTTTCTTAAGGTATTATATCTCTCTCAAAATGTAAGTCTACTTACGTTATTACATCAATATACTAACGTGTAAGAAGTTGAGTATATGTGCATATGTAAAATTGTAAAAAATATGAAAAAAGTACATATACACATATTCAAATATGAATATCTAAATTTCATAAAGAAATCCTGTGAAAAAATCCTTCAAGAGTGTTTTTTTCTTTTTTTATGTCTAGCTGAAATCCTCTTGAGACAGCTTTATCGAACCGCAGAATGTCTTTTGCGAGTGAGTAGATTCATCATCATCGCAGGTACATACCAACTCGTTCATATTGTTGACATATATACCTAGCTGCATAATATACGCTTATATGTATGTGCATATAAATTTATAATAAAACACAAGTATTTGACTCAAGTATGAAAATAATATTTGAAAAGCAAAGAAAAAAAAACGTTAAGAAAGCGCGAAAAAAAATAAAAAAATATCTTGGCTTAAAAAAGCAAGATTCTAAAAAAGAAATTTTTTTGTACATTTACTGTACCTAGACAGATGTATG